CGATTAATGTCGTCCGTCGAAACTCATCCCCTTTGGTACCAAGAGAGAAAAAAGCGAAGAGTACGGGTGAAGGGGAGAACAATCGAATTTCGACGGACGATATTAATCGATTAGCTAGACACTCCCGTGGGCAGTTTTTGACGGAGATTCCGAAAATAGTGTCGGTTTTCATTGGAACACAAGCGTTAGGGATGAAAACTTCTAATCTACGAGTGAAATTCTGCACGATTTGGTCACGCTTCTCGAAATAGTTCATTGTCTCAGTCATAGAAAGGAATATTAGGGAAAGCTCAACATACTATTTAGAGCTGGCATCTCAGCCAATCAAATTGTGTGGCAACAGAAGATTTAATTATTCGTCAAGAAACTAGGTAGCTTTACAAGATTAGCAAAACCAATCTGACTACCCAGCGGGCAGGGCACTCACGGCAAACGAGTATTCAATCTGAAGGAGAACTAATTCGATGTTTCTGAATCAGCAATAAGAGCTGATATAGGGGGAAATTGTTTCGAATTACAATCCTCTCACATAGCTCTACAGAATCATCGAAACCAGAGAGGGGCCACTTCTCCCGTCCACGGAGACCCTCTCAGTGCGTCGAATTTGTCTCGATCAATGAAGGAAATTTTACTACCTCAATCGACGTTTTTCGGGATCAGCTCGATCGAGCGAAGCACAAAATGCGTCCGTGACGAGAATACCGTGTCCAGCAGAGTTCCGAATTACGTGCATCTTTCATCATTTATTACTCTTTCTTCCTAATCGAATATTTGCACAGCGATAAACCGACGCAGAGCGGCAAACAAAGATAAAACACTCGGTAATTCCTTTCTTTGAATGCAGAGGAGCAATGCCATGTTGACCAACATCGTTCGAAGTCTATTCATGCAATCTTACTTTCTCTTCTCCAAAGAAAAGAACTATTTCTGCTATAAAGCCATCACAAAACACACATTTTACGCCAACAACGACTCATTCCCACGAGCAGAATTTATACCAGAATTGTATTTATTTTAACTTTTTGGATTGTTACACAAATTCATAAACTTTTCATTGAGCAAGACTAAGATAACTAACCGTCACAATACGCCTCTCACAAAGACGGAAGTATTCCGCACATCTGGTCATAATCAACGTGAGGAAAGAGAGAGAGATTCTAGGACTTACAGGGTGAGGGTAAGCGATTTTCCGGGAATATGGATGTGGTGAGTGCCTCGTTCGTTCCTAGCGTTAGCCACAGTATCTCCCTCATACCTTCTTTCTCGCCAGTAGAAAAATTGCTGCATTTGCTGCCCGTAAAGATGATAAATACACTGTATTTTATAGAAAAAACGACTCACTCAAGGGCAACAATTCTCACGGTCAATATTTCGTTAACTTTATCAGCCGACAAAAACCATGGCCGACGAACATCAGTTGATTAAATTTGAACCTGGCCATATACGCCAAATTTCGGATGCAGCAAACACCCCGAAACTGGATGTACTCAAACCGTTTTTCGACTTGTCGATAGCAATCAGAAATGCTACTGGAGTACTTCCGGATAACGTTAAACCGGCCATAGTCCACTTGTGTAATATTCATTCAAGGATGAATACTAAAATAAAACAGGGACTAAGTGTTGCAGGTGCTACAGCAGCAAAATTTGTACTCAAATGTTCCGCATTAATGGCACGCCAGATGAACGAAAAAGATGCAGTTGCTCTGAAGAGTTTGGCGGATAAATTAGCTGCTTGCTTGGTTACAGATTTGGAGCAATTCATTCGCGAGGCAACGGATGAGCTTTCAATAGTACAGAAGACATTGCTAATAGAAGCGTCAGGAGGTAGACTGAGGGGGTTGATTAACGATCTGGAAAAACTGGAAACGCAGTTGAAGGAAGATGAAGGAGTAATAGAGAAAATAGAGTTAGAAATGAACCAAATCGAAGGGAAAATTGCATCACTCAAATACCGAATAAGTCTTTTGGAAAAGAATACCACAAATGAAACCATGGCAAAAAATGAAATGAGACAGGAGTTGACTCAATTGAAGATACAAATACCGGATTATGAAAGGGTGCTGCTACAACACCATAACATCACGACCAAGCAAACGAGACCAGTACTTTTCGGATTATTCAACCGATCACAAGATATTGTTACTGATAACGGCGAAGCAACCGCAAAAAAAAACCTTGATGAATTGAATGTAAGAATAAAGATCTTGGAAACCAGCATGGGGAACTGGTCTATTGGAGAATTGGAAAAGAGTAAAACCGATGCAGTAAATGAAGTAGTAGTCCTTGAAGAGCAGCAAAAGGAGTTACAAAAAGAAAACGCACCAGCCGTAAAGAAGCGTATGGATTTATTGGCAATCAAAGAAAAAGTATGCAAAGAAATCGAAAATATTTATGAAAAGTTAGAAACAAGAAATCAGGAAAGTATCAAAACTGTTGACACTTTGGCAACATGTGTGATGGATGCCACTGAAAGCTTCCAGAAGGCGTGCACTCAGATTAATTCTCATTTATTATCAATCGACACTGATGCGGATTTGATTGTTGACGGAATTATTGGCGCGATCCAATTAGTGACTCTCGCTGATGAATGCAACGGTACCGCCACGCTACAGCGAATAAAACATCAGTTATCTACAATAGAAATACTTCCCGTCCGCACTAACTCTGCCACCGTAGAGGAGGCATGATTCAATGACCAGCAATCACAAAAGCTCGTTTTGACGGTCGTTTTCTGCAGACATCAACTTTTTTAATTGGAATCCATTGTACGTTTTGTGAATCAGTTTTCTTTAAAAAAACCGTTTTAACCCGAAAAAAATAAACTGATGGTGAGATAGAGCTACCACAAGCGCAATTTCAGCTCAGCAACGAGAAGCATCGGGTAGCTTTAATTTCAATTGAATCTCTTCTGTATGATCGCTAACACCCAGCACAAGAGAAAATTCAATCAAAAGAGGGGGAAGGTTTGTCGACAAATTGGCCCTAATAGAATTTGTGCTCAGAACCTCAAGTGTTTAGAGAGAGTCAATAAAACCACCACCCAAACTGGATGCCCGTAGGTGTGAGGGTGTGGGTGAGTTTACAAAGTAATGATAGTATCCAAGACTTGACGGGGCGTTTCTTGAGGGTGAGGGGTGAGGGTGAGTTTACATATGAAATAGAGTCCAAGCTTCTTACGACGCGTTTCGAATGGGGCTTAATCCATCCTTCATCAGGTAAGTTCGGACACTTTTACTGAATATCGATCAAGCATCAATCATAAAAGCTATCAAAAGTCGAAACTTCCATTAAACTTCCAATAGATTAACACTGATCCCCACTATTTCTTGAGGGTGAGGGTGAGGGTGAGGGTGTGAGTATAATGAAAAGTTGTTTAGCCACGACTAGTTTCGTCCTCTCTGAAGGGACTCATCAGGTAGCTTTACTTCATCAGAGGAATATCAGTTGAAAGTGTGACAAACGGGTTCATTCGAGTGATTGTGTTGTCTTACAGATTTAATGCTCCGTGTTTGTCTACATCGAGAAAAGGTGGAAAATTCATGAAAGGAGAGTCCATCAGTTTAAGCACAATGGTTGGTTCAACTAAAGAAGGAGAAAATCGATATGATCACAATGTTCAAACTGAAGAAGCTCTCGTTCGTGTTGCTCTTCTTCTCTTGCTTGGGCCAGTCGTTCTTCGCTGTCGATATTCTGCTGTTGTTCCATTGCATCACTCAATAGTTGGAGGTGTTCAAGAACCGCAAAGCCTTCGAATTCGTACAATTGTGCTTGTTCCCATGCATCCCTCGGATCTATTGTCTCCAAATAGTATGTGTCCAGTAGTATCTCATCAGTGGGGGAATCGCTTAATTGTGATACCGCGCGACAATTTCTCAGTCGATTCCAGGATATTTCTTCCAGTTGTTATGGTGCCCTCTGTATTGGAGTGTAGTCTCTTTGGGGTCGATTGCGAGGTGGTGATCTGGGAATCCAATTTCGTCGCTGTCGTTGGCGCTCTTCATGCTGTTCGTCTCGTTGTCTGTCTCACTGGCACTGTCGCCTTCGTTGATGTTGTCGTCGTCTGGCCAGTTGTCTAGTGGTCAAAGTATGCTGAGCCGCGACGTTTGGAGTCTGTCGAGTATCATTGACGACGATGGATGTGTTCGTTACGAGATCCGACGACGATGGATCCGTAGTGACAATGTTGATGGTCAGAAGTTGATCAATATTGGTGTCAGGATGATGGGTTTCAAATGGTGACTCAGATGGTACACAGCCAAGTCGACTTTGATTTTCTGACATTCTATAGAGACATTCATTTCGAGAAAGTGAGTCAATACGTGAATAAATACTCCTTTTCCATACTGGATGCTCACGCAGAATCATTTGAGATTCAACCGAATACAAGAAAGTGTCGCCAGAAGAGACTGAAAAGATTATGATGTAACTAGAATAGCCAACGAAAAGAATAAATGACTTTCTTATCCAAATGAAAAGTGAGAGTTGACGTTTAATCAGTCAGCTAGTCACATGAGAATGTCTATTCAGGTTCAGAGAAGAAAACAAGATAGAATTACATGAATGATAAGAAACGTAACTTACAAAAAACGAGTATCCGTCACTTCGGCGTCCTGTTACACCATTCAATCCAGTGGAAGTGTTGTCAAGAGCTTGAAAGGCCGATTACTCATTCTTAAAGGAAGCCCCAGTAGGCTTCTTCTTCACCAAACGATGTTCCAATGGTGTATTCCTTCGTGTCCCAACGATGAGTCTTACATCTTTCACTCGCGAGTGATCATGAACATAGTAGCTTTGCCACAAGCGACGGAATTCTTGCCTGTATTGTGCTGTTGGGTAGCTTCCGAAATGATAGTCAGCGATTAACTTCTCTCGATTTCATGTCTTTTTCGTAGGAAGATAATTTGCCATGTCATTCATATTACTGACTGATGCCGACGCTTCTTCTCTTGTCTCGTTGGCTGATTCAGAAGTTTCAAATGTAATCGTTGATAGCTGACAACATCCAGGAGTTTCCAGACTGGCATAGCCTGATTCAAATACAAGAAACGCTTGAAATGATAATCAATGAACAGCCACACATGAGTAGAGTAAGTTCGAATTTCAATCGTTCATAGTCAAAGGCTTCAACGCATGAACTCTATCGAGCAGCACGAACCAGGCCACCATAAGAAATGTTCCGATGATTACTTCGAGGATGATCAGATGAAAAGGGTAAAATCCATGGTTCAGCTACTGGTTTATGAAATACTGTGGTTTTCAATTCTCTAGACTGAAAGGATAGAGTCTGTCAGACGGTAAATATGTATTTTGTCTGTCTGTGTGTAACACGTTTTTAAAACCACGGTGGGATCTGTTGTCGGTTGATTGTCAGTGACGGTTTTTATTACGTGAGATCAAGCCGAATCTCTCTTTCTTTCTTAATTCTCAAGAAAAAGACTAACTCATGATTCATCAGGAATTCCACGTTTCGAAAGATTTCTTTTCGAAATTTTGTCTCTCGATTATGATACTGCTCGGTATTTTCTCTTTCGAATTAGTAGATCTTCGATATGAAACCTTTTCGAGTTTTTGTTCAATC